AAAGCAGAATTCTCCTCCCTCCTCCTTGACTATTTCAAGGGCTCTTCCAGGAAACTTTCCCCCAGACCCTGCCCCAAAGAGTTTCAATTAGATACAGTTCCTATTGCCCTTCAGTGCTCTGTGACAGAATGGACTCCCTAGCACCTAGCACAGAGCCTGGAACATAGTGCTTAATGTTTGTCCATAAAAAAAGAATATTTGTAGAAAATTAATATTGATTCTAGACTGTATTATATTTGTCAATGCACAACTTTGAGATAAGGAGGTTTTCCCACTCTGTTCATTTATTATTTTTTTCATTAATTCCTTCACTTGTACATCTATGTACTGAAAAAATTAACTCAGTACTTATTAATGGACTAGACAGCATGCTACTCATTGGGGGCACAGTGATTAGGGAGCCATGCTTCCTGACCTCTAAGGTTTGCCTTGGCAAATGTAGTAAAAAGTTTTCTTTCTTATTTCCAAATTCGTGAGACTAGAAACATAGTTATAAATTTTGGGTTTTTTTATTTTAGAATTAATTTTTCAATTCTAGTTGAGTAGACGTGCTTAGGACCACATATACCTATTTATTACTTCTATTTGGTTTTGTGGTTTGGTATCCTTGGCCAGCCAGATCTTGCCGTCTCAAAGAGCCTGGATTTGGACATATATACTCAAAGTTCAGACAGTGAGGCAGCCAATTTAGCTAATTCATGCCAAAAATTAGCTAGAAACATTTTTACTGCCTATAAGAATAGCTTGACTGGTGATTCACCGTATGATTTAGGTGAGTCACATAACCTCTATGTCTGGGGTTCCTCAGCGCTAAATTACAGACATGCTAGGAATATAATGAATGAGAGACACAATGGCATAGTGCAAGAGTACCAGACCAATTATTTTATCATCCCTAAATTTATCTGTTTTATATATTCTTATTTTCACATGTTAGAAAACAGATCTGACCTGACCTGACTGCCCAAGTAAATCTATTTGAGGGCCACTTGAATGGCAGGGTTTATGAATACAATTTCCACAACTGTATACAGCAACGATTTCTTCAATCATCTATGCACCATTACCTATATACTTCTGATTTAAACACAGGAGTAACCATGTAGAGAGTGGAAAAGAAAGAGATAATGTACATAAAGGTTTTTGAGAGCCACGGAAATCACCGAGAAACTGTATAAATGAATTTCATCACTATTATATCTCTGCTTAATGAGATACTGGTCCATGAATGTTTCATTTTGTGTGAAACTAACCCATAATTAGTCTAGTAAACCCTAATTAGAGTAATGATCCCTTGGGTTTATATGGAGGGTTTATACTTTTTGAAGCTCTTTCATGTACATTTACTCATATGATCCTTGCAACAATTCTCTGAGGTAGGTTGAGCAGGGATTATTTCCTCATGTATTAATATTTTTGTTATATTTTATTTCATATAATTGACCAAATATTGATTTATAACTCATACTGAGTATAGGTATTTTTATCGAATTCTTATGGATCATATAAGAATATAATCTATCTGGTTTATAGTAAAAAAACAAGAAAGTTATAAGTACAGTAGAGTACATTCTTTTTAGTAATCAAACAACAACAAAAAATCTAGTAGAAAGAACAACAGGTTTTTCCAGATGAGTTAGGTTATCCTCTTAATGATTAATACAGGCCTTTGTTAAATTTCTACTGGGAAATTCATGCACACTGTTTTTATTTAATGAAAAATAAAATTATTTTAGCAAGATTTTCTCCACTTCTGATTAATTTTATGGGGGAAGATTTGAGGTCTTTTAATATAAGTTCTTCTAAAACGTCAGTAAGTGTTCATGAACATACTCGTGGTTTTTTTTTCCCCCCTCAGTACAAATGTCAGTAATCTGGCAGAAGCAGAACTTAATCACTGCCAAACAAAATTCCAGTATTTAATGAGAAAATACATTTTTGATGTTAGCCAAAAATGCAAAGTCCCTTATATAAGCTAATGGAATTAAAGAGAAATTCCTAGTACTTAGTTACAGAATAAAGTTAAAGAAGTACAACACACATACTTAAAGAAAAATAACTCTCAAAATAAAAGTTTATTTAACAAATGAACATTTATAATTTTGTATGTAAATATATTTTTGGAACAGTAAAGTTTGTTGAAACAATAATTGGATTTTGTAGCACAATCATTGTTTAAATACTATTACCTCCATTAATTATACCCTAGTCTTTTATTTTTACAAATTTAAATTCTTCTGGGAAATTAAAAGGAGGCAGTAACAAAGTTTTCTCTTGGGTTCTTATTCCTTACTTGTTTTGAACCAATATTTTCCCAATGTTTATTCATAAGCCTAAAGTTAACAAGTATAGCCTCCTGCAACAGATTTCTTATGCTGTCATTAATTATGGTGCCTATAGGGTCTTGGAAATCTCAAAATAAACAAATTAAGGTTGGGAAAAAAACCTCTAAGCGGACCAACTCTACACAAAGCCAAATGGCTAGTTATGGAAGTATTTGTTATAAGCAAATTAGTGTTTTGCAGGAAAAGAAAACTAAGTCCACTGCCTAACTTTCATCTAGCCTTACCGACCTTAAGAATTTTATTTTGGTTACAGTTAGAGACCAATAGTGGTGTGTGTGTGTGTGTGTGTGTGTGTGTGTGTGTGTGTGTGTGTGTGTGGATTTATGCAACTCTGAAGGCCTTTTAGAGATCTAAGACCACCACACGAGTTTCATTTTGGCTCTTTTGTGCCACGGTTACTTAAATAACTTCAGACTTGAAAAAGTATTCAGAACTGCTAGTTACTAAGAATTGGACAGGTTGACCTCCTCTAACTCTTAAATTCTATCATTGTAGATTAACTGCTCACATTTCACTGAAGCTTTGACTCTTTAAAAGTGCAGGTCTGTTCTGTACAATTTCAATTGATTGCTGTCTCACTAGTACATATGAATGAGTCTTCAAATACTTAACTCCATTGCTTGATTGGACAATAGTTTAATGACAGCGAGCAATGTGGGGCTATTCTGAACTTAGCAGTGAAAGGGCTGAAGATTGTCTCGTTACAAAAATTCAAAGAGAACTGTATGCAAAAAGTTTTGTTGAAAAGTAGAATTAGAAGACACCTTCAGAATGTTGCATTTTATGCCTTCACATTTTGGTAGGAGAAAATATGCAACTGAATCAGTAATAAGGAAAAGAAAGGCAAGGATGACAGTCATTTGCTGAGGGCTACATCAATTTGATTTACAGGTTTCAGCCATTTAGTTCTTTCTGGATTTAGACCCCATACCATATTCCAATGGTTTTCAAACTTTAGCGTACATCGAAACCACCTAGGTGGCTTTTAAAACACAGATTGCTGGGGTCACACCTGTTTCTGATTCAGTAGGTTTGAGATGGGGTCCAGTGATTTCCATTTCTAACAAAATCCCAAGTGATGCAGATGCTGCTGCTCCCTGAGCCACACTTTGAGAACCATTAGGTATCCATATACCGTGAAGTTAGATTACTTTTAGTAAGCACCACATTTATTCTATAGTCTATAAGCAAATTACAAATTAAATAGTGAGAACATAGCTTAAAAGTATTTTTTAAATGATAATTAGTTTTGAGGGGGTTTATTTAACCTTCAAATAGGGGAAAAGACAATAAATTTTATTAGTTTCAGGTATACAGCACAATGATTAGGCATTTATATAATTTATGAAGTGATTCTCCAGTTACTCTATTATCCATCTGACACTATACATAGCCATTACAATATTACTACCTATATTCCCTATGCTGTACTCTACATCCCCATGATTGTTTTGTAACTAATTCATACTCCTTCATCCCTTCATCTTTTTTCACCCTTTCTCCCAGCTCCACTCTCCTCTGGCAATTGCCAGTTTGTTCTGTTTTCCTTTTGTTTCTTTTGTTCCTTAGATTCCGTATATAAGTGAAATCATATGGTATTTGTCTTTCTCTACTTACTGCACTCTAGGTCCATCCGTATCATTGCAAATAGTAAGATTTCATTTTGGATGGCTGAGTAATATTCCATTGTACATATATACTGTAACCTCTTTAAGTCTTTAGATGTTCATTAAAATTTAGCAAAAATAATGGTGCTAAAAATTCACACATTGATGTAAAAAATGTTCTAGTCTGGTATAGGTACATAATTACAGGAGAAAAGGACATGATGTCTAGAATTTGTTCTAGAATATGCCAACAAAAATAAAAAGGGAGGGGAAATCCTAGATGAAACAAGATTGACAAAATATTATTTGTTGAACCTGAATGAGTACCATGAAGTTCATTATATTTTCCTACTTTTGTATAAACTTGAAAATTTGAGAAAGCTTTTAAAATTCACATCTTCATCAATATTCATAGGCAGTGTAATTGACTTGTAAGAAATGTGGACTGCATTTAAAACAAAGTTCTTGGTATATCTGAGAGAACAGTCAAGGATTTGAGTCATTATAATAGACTAGGCCTGAAATACAATTCTTGATTTAGGAATCTCCATTGTGGGCAGGAAGAAGAAATAGCCACTGGAAATACCTAATTCTAAACTCTCTCTGCCTTTGATTCTTTATTCCTACCTTCTTTATCCCATCAGATTGCTTGCAGCTTCTGAAACATTCTGGGCCTGCTGCCTCTACAGACTGACAAAAATCCTTCTCTACTTACTGCCTGCCTGCCTCAAAAAGGTCAGTGGCTTTTAAGTCCCTTGCTTGTTGAAGCTTCGTTGTGGTGACTATACTATCACTTGGGACAACCAGGCCATCTTTGTGGGGAGGGGAGTGTTACTATGGTTCATATTTTTATACTTTTAAAAATCAACTTTTCATGCACTTGTAGAATTACATAAATTAATATGAAAAGACTTTTAATGACGATTTGATGTGTACCTTAATGCCTGGCCCAATAGCATAAGATGTATTTAGGAGGTTACATTTTAGTACTTTTAAGAGGCTTATTTTATTTTTTTCTGAGAAAAAATATAACACATACAAAATAATATCATTTTAAAGAATAGTACTTTATTGAATAAGTCTTATTCACAGAAAAATAAGCTTTATAACTGCCAGATTATGCAGTGGAAAGTAATTTTTCTTAGTTGTCCATATTGATGGAAAGGTTTCTACTAAATGAAAGAAACAAAATTATATTCACAAATATAGTTATCTCAAAACATTTCACATGATTAAATCAGTCATTCTGTCAGGTTAGATAAAGTATAACAATAATGAAAAGATACAAAACTCTAACAAAAATTACATTAACGCCTTTGTTATATCAAATCAAAAATGCAAATTTGTAACTAAGTATAGACAAAATATATTTAAAGTAATTTTACATGTTACATTAGTGATACAGAATAAGGATACAGTAAATGCCAAAAAATCTATACACATATCTGCAAACTTTAGACTTCAAAGTAGAATCTTACCACCCAAACATTAATGTATTGTACAATTTGAAGATATATGTATTTGATTGTCCTACTGTATTAAAGTGTAATTTAATATGTAGTGAAAATTATGATACAGAAGAAAGAATAGCTGAAAAAATAACATTTGAGACCTCCCAGGAGAGGTAGCTCGAAGTGTTTCACCGTCAAACTATGTCCCAGTCTGGGATGCCACCAATTAGCTATATAGCTTTAAACAAACAACTTCCCCTCTTAGCCTCAGTTGCCTCATCTGTAAAACAAGGGGGATGAATTAGATACTCTCTAAGGTCACTTCTAGCTTTGACCCCCTATAATTCTATTATGCTGCAAATGAAATTCATTGTGTTAAGGTATATAAGTCAAACTGAAACTGACTATGAAGGTGGGAATAAGCCAATTGTTTCTATTAGGAAAGTTGAATTAAAGAATAACTTTTTCAAGTTTTAAGAAAGAAATTTAAATTTTTAAGGACTTGACCTATTTATTATAATTTACATCTTAACTATGAGAAACATCAAAAAAGATGAGGCAGAGTCACTGAAAGATTACCATGTAAGTTTTAGCCCAAATTTCCAGAGTCAAGGCAAACCTGGAGGCTAACAGTGTTAGGAAGGGAATTAACATTTATAACAGATATTTTACACACTTGGTTCTCTTTGAACTCTCATAACTGTAAGATAGGTACTATTCTCATTTCACAGATGAAGAAATGGCTACTTTTTTTTTTTAAAGCAAATTTCACTAAAAGGATCTACATCTGTCAAATATTCCCTTCAGTTTTTTTATTTCTCCAATGGAAATGATATACAAGAAATCCCACTTCTTCCACACCTCCGCCCCTTTCCCCCATATTCAACATATGGGTAATCAGGAAATAAAATGAATTGGATCTAAAGGGTACAATACATGCAACTAATGCTGTGGTGGTAGTTTCCCATTCACAGAGTTCAAAATACCAATTTTATCCAGTGAAATGAAAACAAGAAAAAAAAAAACTACCAAAATTTAGCTATTATAATAAAACAACAAAAGATCATAATACACAGAGCCAAATCACATAAACACCTACCCTACCCCATCTTAGCCCCTAACTAAAGGGAAAAATAGCAAAAACAAACAACAAATCTAGCAGGAAAGGCAATACAAATTCATTAATTAAAAAACTGGAATTTACAAACACATTAAACCCATTTCTCTAACATTAAGACAAGACTTTTGATCAGTACACCAAATTATTACAAATAAAGATAACTATTACGAAACAAATTGACTCTTCACGTGACTAAAATGCAATAGGTGGTGACTTTGAAATATCAGAGTGAACTTTATACAGAAAAGGAATGTCTCCATGTAGATCCTGAGAACTATTCTGGGAAGGGGAGAAGCACAGAGTTGGATCTGGTTATATTTTTTACCTTGCAAGTGATCATTTTTTGCACAATTAGATGGGAAGGATCCAGTGCTTTTTATGGTGTAAACACAGACAAACACTGGTAAGTCTTAAAAAATTTGAAGTTGGAGTGCTGAGTGATTTAAGACCCCAAAGCAACAGGGTTTCTAAACAATTCTGAAACTTGTTAGTCACATCAGCTTCATGCATTAGATTTCACAACTCACGAGGAGAAAAAAGTGTTGGTTAACTCTAAACATACAAATTTTGAAAGAGTTTTAATGAACTGAGGCTCCCAGAACAGGAAAAGCCTTATGTTAAAACAATTCAGTCCTTGGCCAACAGCTACACTGAACTGTCTGTCTTGGAGCTGACGTGTCCTGGAAAACACACTTTAAAAAACTTTAACACTTTTCTCCCCTTGTAATTTAAATTTAAATCTTATACTATACATGTAAAATTTAACTTAATGGCTATATGACTAAAAAGCATGACAGTCATTATTTAATTTTTTTTAAAATTCTCATTTAAATTTGCAATGCTTTAAATATCAAAGTAGTAAACAGAAGTTAGAACACGACAATACTCTTTCTCTTAGAAAAATGCAACGATAATTATAATTTTTAACAGTTTCACTCTCAAACTTTTCTCTGCAAATACCTCACTCAACTCTACAACAGGTCGTTGTGAGAATTTTGTAATATAAAGCCTGGGTGTTCTATGAAACATTTTAAACTTCCATTTTTTATTTATATTCTTATTCAAATTTCATTTTCTCTTTAATGAAAAAACTATTCTTTCCTTGTCAATATTTTATAATTTCCAAGAGGTTTTTAAGGATCTTGAGAGAATATTTATTTCATAAGTACCTACTACTATTACTAGTCAGGAAAACAAGTCAGGTAGAGGAGAGACTTGACATTTTGTCCTATATACATCTTAATCATCGTACAGGTAAAAACTCACATGAAACTTTACAAGATGATATGAGAATCTCAACATGGAAAGCTTTCACTATAACTACGAGCAGTGTACAAACATGCTTCTACTTTTATCTACATAAGCTGACAGATGTTTAAAATACTGGGTTAACAAAGATCTTTTAGTAAAGTGACTTAGGCAGGCTTAAACTAGCAAGGATTAAGGATGAATCCTTACTAATTAATTGGAAGATCTGAGACATATTTTATATTTCATTTTACAAAATCAGGAATATTTATTTTGAAACAAGAGAAGACATGGTCTACCTGTCAGAAAACTACCACTCAGAAATATTTTTCACCCACAAAGCAGGACAAACATAAAGACATTTAAATTTCACATTGGCACCAAAAAGGTTAACTGCCCTGCCTTCTTGGATTAGAAAAACTAAAGCTGAGCAATAAGTAGTTTTGCAGGCATTTGAACATGCCTAAGCCTTTAAATCAGTAAAATTTTTCTAAAAACTCTGATTACAAAAGTAACATACTTACAAAAAATTCAACAGAACAAAGTAAAAAAAAGAGAAAGTGAAAGGCCCCTGTAAAGTCCCTCTAGGACCCCCCCTCACCCCCCTCAAGAGAAACTAAATTTAACAGTTTGGTGCATATATTTCCAAATCTTTTGTTCTGTACATATACGAAATGCATACACTTTCATTTGGCTCATTCAATACACAGTATTTTGCCACATGCGTTTTATACTTAACATATCTTTGACATCTTTCCATATCAGTACATGTAGGTTAGATGGCATTCTATCATTAATTACTTTAACAACAGCAAAATCATTTTCTAAAATTAACCACCCAAGTATGTGTGTATAATTTTAAAAGAAAATTCTAAAACACAAACATCTAAAAATGATCTCTGTCTTTCTACCAGTGTAGAACTGTTCATTCCTTTTTCACACAAATTATGATTGGGGAGATTAATCTCTACATTTACACAGAATGCTCCATTTGTTAAGCCTATCTGAAAAGAATGAAACGTTCAGTTGATTAACTCACTTAAACTTAGAAGCTAAGTCAGCGTACAACAAATATACATTGTGATCAGTTACAATAAATATGATGCTTCTTAGTCTAGGGTTTCAATGAGATAACAGGAAAAAAATGGGGTAGATAGATAACATAGCTAATATTTTGAAAAATCCAGAAATTCAAATTCTAGATTGCTAAGATTGCTAACTCTAACACTGCAGTTTACATTTTCTTCTACTTGGAAGCAAATGTTAATGGAATTCAATGCTGTATTTAAAGTCGGTTCACATCACATATTCAATCAGGGTAATAAGAACATAATACATCTACTGTAGAGTTAGACTAAGACATAAAAATTTTTTGCTTGAAAGTAATGACTGTGTAGCACATGGGACATTTATTAACTGCTTCAGAACACTGTTTACAAGTGACCAGATGTCCACAAGGAATAAACACTACAGCAATATTTCTATCCATACAGATTTTGCAAAGCTTCTCCTCTTGCAGGAGCCTTAGCTGCTCTTCAGTACTAATCTCTGCACAAAGAGAAAAAAAAAGAGTTAACTGTAGACTTAGTTATTTAAATTCATTGAAACAATTTGAACCCCTACTATGTGCCAGGTACTAATCAAGTGTTGAGAGATAGGATGACTCACACATGGCATCTGCTCTCAAGTAGCTTGAATGCTAGTAGCAGGGAAGGTAAGCACAAAGTACGAAATGATAAGTGCTATAATAAAGTTATGTACAGAGACAAGATGAGAGAACAAGTCCTTCTGTTCAGACTAGGTGGGGGAGCCTTCACGAATTGGCAGCTGCTGAGGGGGGTGGGGCAGAGAGTGGAGTGATATTTAAACATAGCAATTTGCCAGGCACAGAAGCAAGGGTCAGGTAAAAAGTAGCAAAAAGAAAGGGCATGGCTTATTCTGGAAATGGAGGGACAGATTTGAGGGCCACTTCTGAAGTGAGATAGGTAGGATCTGGTGACTGGATGTGAGGGATGAAGAAGAGGAAATCCAGTTGATTTCAGGATTTCTAGTGTGGCTGACAAGGGGATGGAATGCCAATAGGAAATATAAAAGGAGGTACAGGATTGGGATTTTCAAGATATTTCTGAGGTGTTTTCAGGGCATCCATATAAAAGTGTCCAGGAGGCAATTGGAGAGTCAAGTTTTGATGTCAGAAGTCAGGGCTAGAGATTTGGGTATCATCAGCATGCACTGAAGTACTTAACTCAGCCTTTTCCAAACTAAGTTTTGTGAAATGTTAACAAATATATCACAAAAATGTGTTTTGTGGTCTTAATATAACTATAATGATGACATTAATAATAGCAGTTAACAGTAATACAGCACATATTACCACGTGCTAGACACTATTCCAAATGCATTACATATTTTAACGATCTTTGTAATTATTGTATAGCAGTGGTTTCCAAATCTGGTTTCACATGAGGATCACTTGGGGGCATTTTTAACAATAAATTCCTAGGCCCCATTCACTGAATCTAAAATTTTGGGGGTTGAGCACACTGGCATTTGGGAACCATTGTTATTAAGTTCAGGGCAGTATAATATAGTACACGTCCCCTCTTAGAAATTCACAATACATTGCCCTATTTAACTATGGAGCTCCTTTTTCATGTTATCTTTTAACAAGTTTGGGAAATAGTGGTTTAATTTATTCAACAAATATTTAACACTTAACTAAGTTCCAGGCACTACAACAATTAACAAATAAACTATTGGGCCCCCAATAGTTTATAGACAAGTAAGGAACACAAGCAGAATAGAAATTATAGTACAGTGTGATGATAAAGGTAGTTACGTGTTATGAAGAACACAGGAAGGGTGTGTGTATAGGTGAGCATGTGTTTGAACACATAAAGAGAAAGTCTCCTGGAGCAGAGTATACCTAAACTGGGTCCTAAAGAATGAGTGGGAGTAAACTAGGAGACAGAGAAGGCCTTGGAGGACAGAGGCAGTGGAATAAGGGTGACTTAGACCAGCAGTCCCCAACCTTTTTGGCACCAGGGACCGGTGCTCCTATGAAAATTTAATGCCTGATGATCTGAGGTAGAGCTGAGGTGGGGATGCTAGCTCTGGGGAACGGCTGAAAATACAGATGAAGCTTTACTTGCTTGCCCACAGCTTACCTCCTGCTGTGCGGCCCAGTTAAGGACCGGAACCGGTCCACATCTCAGGGGTTAGGGACCCCTGGTCTAAACAAAGGAAATGAAGTAGGCTCCAAGGGGAGCGACAGAACAGGGCCTACAAGTCTACAGGCAAGGCTTGGGAATACAATTTGAAGGGGAAACAGCCTGAGATGAGGCTATAGAAGGTTAAGAGCAGCCTGACCGTGTACTATTTGGCAATCCACGGAAAGGAGCCCCGGGAGCCAGAGATGGATTTTCATCTGGAGAGAGATATGCTCAGATTTGTGCTTCAGAAAGGTTTCCCTGGCTAGGGGTGGAGGAAATGATTATTTAATATTTTTTTCTTAAAAGACAACCTCCTGAGCATAATCGAAACTGTAGGCTTAAACATGGAACTTATCAGAGACAAAATGATAAAGCAGTTGCCCTCAAGAAGCTTGTCTAATGGGCAGGACGGAAAAGAACAGTTGCAAAATAATGCTACAAGTGCTGTAAAAGAACTGAGAGTAGAGAAGAGGGAGCTCAGAACTCTGCTATGGGCACTGGGGAAAACTTCAGAGACGTGACCTCTGAGCTGAGCATTGAAGGATGAGTTCACAAGATGGATTTAGGGACCCAAGGGTGTAGTGGGGAATAAGAACAGGTTTACAGATAGGGAAAAGGCATCTAGCACAGAGGAAACAACATAAGGGATGGCATTATAAACTGATTTATGTTATATAAAAGCATGTGACCAAAAAAGTCAGGATAAAGTGTATATTCATGTCATTGTCATAATCAGTAATCAGCATGAATTCGCCTGACTTGGTTAAAGGAAAGCACAGTGATGATGGACGGGCTATCTGCTACCAACCAAAAGCAGGAGGACTTGGAGGTCGTCATGCAGCAGAAGCAGAAAAAGACAAACGAGAAACCCAAGGAAGAACCCAAATAGCTTTGTGGCTTCATGTCCAACCCTTCTTGCCCTTTGCCTGTGTGCCTGGAACCAGTTCAACCATGCTTGAGTTTCTTCCTGTAGTGCTCAGGGGTTCCAGGACCAATGGCAATCCCTTTGCAGGGAGTCTGCAGCTGGTCCCTTTTGTGGTTCCTTCCCTTCAAATAGTCTCTCTTCCCCTTCCCAGTGGTTTTATTCCTGTGGGGCTCACCCCAAGGTATTAATAGTAGCTTTGTAATTAAAAAGAGGAGGAAAACAATGAAGTAATGTATACATTACTTTTGAATGTGATGCTTCAATGACTAAAAAAGTACACCGAACCAGACACCTAAAATTTATAGAGACAGAAAGCAGAATGGTGGTTGTTAGGCGCTGGTAGGAGAGGAATGGGGAGTTGTTTAATGGGTAGAGAGCTTCAGTTTTTTAGATGAAGAGTGTTCTGGAGATTGGTTGCACAACAATGTGAATGTACTTAACACTACTTGTACACTTGAAAATGGTTAAGATGGTAAATTTTAAGTTGTGCATATTTTACCAATTAAAAAAAAAAAAGGGGGCGGGGGAACACTGGACCAGAAGTCAGGAAACCTGAATTTCACTCCCAATTACCTGAATGATCTTGGTCATCAGCGCAACTGTACTTCAGATTTCTCACTGAAGTAATGAAAGTTATGTGATCTTTAAGGTTCCTCTTGGTTCTGATTGTTGAGATTCCATTTTAAAGACTACAATGGAATGTCATGCATACCAAACACTAATATCAACTCTACTTTTTCTACCTCATTTCAGCAATTGCATATACTTACTTGAGATGGTAATGCTCTGGGCATAGTTTCCCCATTCCCCCCCAGACTAACAGTTTACCTCTGGTAATACTTCACTCTAGCCTTAAGAATAACTACCGGATTCTACCATCCTTTCCTATGACACCCTTTCCCTTCTACTTCCTATAAGGCTTTCTTCTAGGTCAAGAGGTTTCTGGCACACTAGCATTAAAAGCAATATAGTTAGATAACTTTTTATGTTATTTGCTATTATTCTGACATTATTTTAAACCACTTCTAGAATAAACTGATGTTATTCATTTTACTTTCAGAGCAGATCCATGTGGAAAGACTGATGAGAAATGTATACGGGTTTGGCATACAAAGGACAGGGCTTTGATTTTTAAAAAGAAAGAAAAAAGAATACTGATTTGGTACTATTTTTAGAAGACTGTTTACTGGGGCATTCTGTGTCACACAGCCATTGGGTATTGCATCTAGGATTTCTCAGTAAGCAACAATATTGGTACTTTTTCTAAAAACGTCCACCTGCTTTAATTCAATTGGAACCACCTGCTACTTTGTATAGAATTAAAAAATTCTTAGTGCCAGTCTCTCTTCCTCAGCCTTTCTCTGGGAAGAGAAACAGGCAGCAGCTCTAGCATGAGAAGATAGCCTGTATCAATTACTTGCCTCTCGATTCAGTGAGAAAAGGTCAACTGATGAATTCCAATCCTTGCCCCTGAAAGCTGCCATTTGCTTTGGCCCTTCTCCCTACACCATCCAAGCTTATAGTCTCAGTGATAAGAACCCCCATCAACTCTTGTTGGATAGAGAAGACACCCACAATGCACTCTGTCCCTTGTTCTCTTCCTACTGCAATCCACTATATCCTTCTGCTGCAGACAACACCTTGAGGTACAAAAATTAACACCTTATTGTCAAACTTAAGCTTAAGCTGTGGTTAAGATGCAGGGAAAAATGACATAATCACTTATATTTCCATTGCAGTACAAAGATGACCAAGTAAATGGTTTATTTTACCATCACCAAGACAAGTGGAGCTATTATAGGTATTAAATAAATGCATCTTTAGGATAAGAGTAGTAAGCTTTCTGTTGAATCTTTTAAATCAACTGATAGGATTTTAAGTCACTAATATTATACTGTTTTCTGACATGTAATTATCTGAATAACGTTTCAAAAGTATCTGAAATAACAAAGATCACAAGGTTCTTTCATGTAAAAAAAACATAAGTAAACTTTTATGTTCAGTTAGCACTACATGAATTCTCATCTTTTAGGAGAGGTGGTCAAGAGCTTAGAAAACAATGATTATAATAAGGTACCCAAAAAGGTATTCAGTTTGACATCTTTTCTTTATATGCTTCTCTTCTACATTATTTTATACACTTTCTATATGATTCACAGTATTAAGATGCTATTCATTCATGTTCCAGTCATATGACCCCTTTACATGAAAAGTTACAGAATACTCTATATCTAAAGTTTCAACTACAAAAAACTCATTCTACACATAATGATAAAAGTTAGCTTTTGTTGTTCTTTATCTAAAATAGAGCGTAAATTCACACTTTTGAAATGAATGGATCAGTGGATCCTACTTGGATCCTGATTAGAACGAATCAACTGTAGAAACATTTTTAGACAATGGGAAAAATGAAAACCAATCGAGTTTCAGATGACATCATAGAATTACTGTTAACTTCATTAAGTGTGATAGTAATATGGAATAGACTAAATGTCTATGCCTTCTCAAAATTCATAAGCTGAAGCCCCAACATCCAATGCGATGGGACTTGGAGATGGGGCCTTTGCTATATAATTCAGTTTAGATGAGATCATGAGGGTGGGACTACATGATGGGATCAGTGTCCTTATAATAATGGAGAGGAAAAGAAACCAGAGTGCTGCTCTCTTTTGGCCATGTGAGGACATAAAGAGAAGGCAGCCTTTTGCAAGTCTGGAAGAAGTCCTGATCAGGAATCAAATCTGCCTGCACCTATATCCTGGACTTCCCAGCCTCCAGAACTATGAGAATTAAATGCCTGTTGTTTAAGACACGCTGTCTATGTTATTGTTATATCAGTCCGAGCAGACTAATGCACAGGGTTAAGGTTAGGTTAAAAAGTCCTTATCTGTTATTTATTGAAGAGCCTGTAGGTAAATGATATATAGGATATCTGGGATTTACTTTAAAATACTAGCAAAAAAAAAAAAAGTTTGGGGGAGAAATGAAACAAGATTGGAAAAGTGTTAATAATCACTGAGGCTGGTTGATGTGTATGTTGGGGTTCATTATACTGTTCTCTCCATTTTTGAGGATATTTGACATTTTTCATAATACAAAGTTACAAAAGTGTATTCTAAGGAGGATATGAGAGGAGGGAAATGAATGGGCCACAAAGTCATGTAAGATACTATCCATAATGAAATGCTGTTGGGTGTTCCTTGCTTTTTAAAACCAGCCAGGCATACCTTTCTGCAGCGAAGTCTGACTTGATTCATCTTGCATATTGTCTTTCTGAGCACTCACTAAATCTGCAACCAGAACCTCGAGTGATTTATAGTTGCTCCCAGATGTCTGAATTTTTTCCTCCATTATTTTCTTAATGTCTCTGAAACTGAACCCCATTCGTATAGCTTCATGTGCCATAGGATTTTGGAAGATAGTATCATCTAAAACAAAAATTAGTAATGAAAAAGAACAGGGTTAAAAAAATTATTTTTATTAACAGAACTCAACACAAAGTATAAAGAAAATTTTAAGCAGCAAGCAAAAAACCCAGCAAATTAAAGCTGCTTTGAAAGAGATTTTGAAATATTTAGGCGCTTTCAGAATTTTACAATAATTGAAAATGCAGTGTTTTGTAGCACTACGTATTGAGATTAGGTGCTGTAAGATTGTGCTAAAACAGTACAAGACAAGAAGGATAAGTGCTTTGAAAATCTGAACATTTTTCAAATCAGATGTACTCATTAACAGCTAACCTAAAGTACTTAAAGAGTGGATGTCTTATGCTCTAAGAGACTGTGGTCAAGATGGTGGAGTAGGTAAACTATGTGCTTTATCTCCTCCATGACCACCTGAAGATTACAAACTAAACTACTGAACAACCATCATTGAGAATCTCCTGAAGTCTAGTGGAACAGAAGTCCTATAACTTCTGTTCCTAGGATATACAGAAAAAGCTATGTGGAGACTGGTAGGAGGGGCAGAGATGCAGAAAGGGCCAGTTCTACACCCAAGTGTGATGTTTAAAAAGCAGGAAGGATTTCTTTTAGCTGTAGAGGTGCCCCAAGAAGTGAGAGGTCCTAGCTCCACATCAGACTCCCCGGCCCAGAGTTCCACTGCCAAGAAGAGAAGTCAACACAACTTCTAGGTGTGAAAACCAGAGAAAATTGTAAGGAGGAGGGCCGTTGTAGTCCCAGGTGTTCCTGTTAAAGTGCCCACTGACTAACTCACTTGCTCTGAGCGCTAGTGCTGGAAAAGCAGCTTGAAAGGCACCAGTGACATGTGGGGAGGAACTAAATTATCTGACTTCAGGTTGAGGGCTGCAGGGGCAGTTTTCTCTCAGACAAAAATGCTGGCAAAAGCCACTGTTCCTTTGTTGAGCCCTCTGCCACCCAGCCTGCAGACACAGGCAGGTGCCATATTTGAGTCTCCATCAACCTGGCTAACATGGTTCCCCTTGCCTTGGTGATTTCCTGAGACCTCTCTCTACCCAAATTGTGGGCCCACCCAAGCTGCTTCCAGTGGCTTTTCCACACAAATGGCCTGTCTTGGCTTATGCTTTGGACTTTCCTAAAATCTCTAAAGGGTTCACAAACCCTAAACATGCAGCATCTGGCCTCAGCATGCCCCATACCTCTTGCTATAAGGAGCCCCAACCCTGGCACTAGTGACAGCTGGCCTCGGTTTTCAGCTTAGTTTCTCCCAGGCACCTCCAAGCCCAACGCAAGTGGCAACCATCTGCAGATCACTTTGTAGCTCATACCAAGTGGCTCCTGGCAAAGCACAGGCAGCCCGTGACCTTGGCCTGCACCTGAATCCCTCCAAAAGGCCCCCAAACCAACACACCTGGTAGCCAGCTTCAGACCACAGAAGAGCATCAATCAACCACTTCCACAAACAACACAGCCAAAGGGAAGACTGGGCAGGCACCAGAGCCCTGCTAAAGTGAATCCTGTTCTGTAGGGTCAGCCCCTGCACAACAACACATCCACTGTAGTCATGGCCAGTTCTCACAACTAATCAGCCTGAGGGTCAATTCCTTCCACTGACGTGCCAACAGCAATCGAGGTTCAACTACAACAAGAGGGCACACACACAAGGGACAGCCTGGAGCACCTGGCTCAGGTGACCAGGGAAGATTGCACCAGTGGGCCCCACAGGACACCTACTACATAAGGCTACTCTACCAAGACTGGGAGACATAGCAACTCTACCTAATACATAGAAACAAACACAGAGAGGCAACCAATTGGGGAGACAAAGAAACAAGTCCCAAATGAGAGAACAAAACAAAGCTCCAAAAAATTAACTAAACAAAATGGAGATAAGCAATGTACCAGATGCGGAGTTCTAAACATTTGGTTATATGGATGCTCGATGATCTCTACGAGAACATCAACAAAGAGATAGGAAACATAAAAATGGAGATTGAAAACAAAAAAGAGCCAGTCAGAAATGAAGTATATAATAACTGAAATGAAGAATACATTAGAGGGAATCAACAGATTAACTGAAGTGATTTGGAAGAGAAGGTAGCAGAAAACAATCAAAACAGCAAAAAGAAAAAGAAGAACCCAAAACTATGAGGTAATTTAAGAGGCTTCTGGGACAACATCAAGCATACCGACATTCGCAGCATAGGTTACCAGAAAGAGAAGAGAGAAAGCAAGAAATCAAGAACCTATTTGAAGTAATAATGATGAAAAACTTCCTTAACCTGGTGAAGGAAATAGACATACAAGCCCAGGAAACATAGAGAATCCCAAACAAGATGAACTCAAAGAGGCCCACATCAAGACACATCATAATTAAAATGCAAAAGGTTGAAGACAGAGAGAATCTTAAAAGCAGCAAGAGAAAAGCAGTTACCTGCGAGGAAGCTCCCAGCTGATTGTCAGCTGATTTCTCAAAAATATTTCAGACTGGCATGAAATATTCAAAGTGATGAAAAGCAAAAACCTACGACCAAGATTACCCAGCAGATCTACCATTGAGAATCGAAGAACAGAGAAAGAACTTTCCAGACAAGAAAAAGCTAAAGGAGTTCATCACCACCAAACCAGTATTATACAAAATATGAGACTTCTTTAAGGAAAAAAAAAGGTCAAAAATATGAATAAGAAAATGACAGTAATTACACATCTATCAACGATTAGGTTAAATGTAAATATTAAATGCTCCAATCAAAAGTTATAAGGTGGCTAAATGAATAAGAAAACAAGGTCTTTACATTTGTGCTTATAAGAGACTCACTTCTGATTGAAAGACACACACAGTCAGAAAGTAAAAGGATGGAAAAGATATTTCATGCAAATGGAAAGGAAAAAAAAAGCTGGCGTGGCTATATTTATACCAGACAAAACACACTTTAAAACAAAGTCTATAAGAGATAAAGAAGGACATTTCATAATGATAAAGGGATCGATCCAACAAGAGAATATAACCATTGTAAACATTTGTGCATCCAACACAGAAGCACCTAAATATGTAAAACAAATATTGATGGATGAAAAGGGAGAGATCAACAGTAATATAGTCTTAGCGGGGGACTTTTAACACCCCATTGACATCAAGGGATAGATTTTCTGGACAGAAAATCGATAAGGAAACAGTGGCCTTAAATGACACATTGACAAGGACTGAACTGATATCTTTGGAGTGTTTCACCCTAAAGCAGCAGAATACACATTCTCTTCAAGTGCGAATGGAACAAAACGTTTTCCAGGATGTTAGGTCACAAAACAAGGCTCAATAAATTTAAGACTGAAATCATATCAAGCATCTTCTCTGACCACAATAGTATAGAACTTGAACTGTATACATTATAAGGATGATTATTATCAAGAAATGTTACGGAATGTTTCTAGATAATTTCAAAAATACAGGCTGAAATAAATGATATATTGTATTATTTATGCCCATTATAAAACCCATATTAAACAATATCAAAGTGGCTATCCTGCTCAAGTATATTTATAAAAAAAAATCATTCTCTTGCCTTGTTATCCTTAAGATACTAAACAGATGATGCTATAAGTACAGGGAGTGGGGAATCACCAGACATATTCTAATTTAAACTTTCTACTATTTTTGAAAGATGAAGCCTAAGTTAAGAATGAGATCTGGAGTGTGATGCGAGATTCAGATGACCCTGTTTACAGTTCTAGTTACACTAATGCTTTGTAATGTAACTGTGGGCAGGTCACTTAACCTGACTTTGTTTCTTCATATGAAAAGTGGAGATATCAATATCTTTGCTTACCATATCTTTCTTTGCCCACGTTCTGGTTTCTAAAAGATGTCTACGATGCATAAATCATCTTTCTAACAAAAATCTCTCTCTGTGATGCAATAGGAGGTAAACAAACCTAATCGTACCCCTCGGTGAAGAAGCTGGGGAAGGCACAAAGATGGCATGGAATAAAGAAGCAAGTAGATTAGGGCTGATCATTAGTAGAGCACTGGATTCACAATCCTGGATAACTAAAGAATCCTGAGGGACAAAAAATACACTTAACTATTCCTTTAGTGATTTTTAACAGAAGAGGTGATGGACATACTATAGCTGCTTCTTCTTAACTTGGGAAAACTAACTGTCCAACCTCCATAGGAATGTTCTGAATATATAAATATCTCATTAAAATTTATAGGTACTTCATTAATTCTTAAATTTATAGCAATTTCATCTCAAATAAATATACCTTGGTGAACCTGAAAGAATATGTTTACCTTTCTACTCTGTAAGTATAATAAATTGGCAATGAAATTAAAAATATATTTATTATAATAAACATATTTACCAATTATTTTAGTTAGTGATGGTGTTTTTTCAGCAGTTCTTCCCTAAAACAGAAATATGAATTATAAGTTAGAATTCTTTTTGGTAGAAGGCAATTATCTGAGTTTGAAAAGTAACATTAATCATGAATTTATAAATTGGCTTTATTTTATTTCAACATATAAATATTCCCAAGAGCCATAGCCTGATGAAGCTAGAAGGAAGTAAAAAGATCATCTAACCCAATCCATTCACTTTACAGACAAGAAGCTGATGCTCAGGGAGATTAAACAACTTGATTGAGGTAATACAGATGATGGCAGAACCGTAATGGCAACTCTGGTCTCCCACTCTAGTCCCGGGCTCTTTCCACATGTACTGATGCCTTGGTCACCCTATGTGACACTATCTCATTTCGATGCATTTTTGAGATTTTAAATTTAAGGCTGTTTAAAACTTTTCACAGACAAAAGTCAAATTTCAGAAGGCTGAGGAATTAAATTATTTTAGTTCTTCAAGCCCATTTTTGCATATAGTGATACTTAAATCAGTCCGTCCTGATCCCCTTTTTACAAATTTGCTTCAGGTTAAGAACAAGCACTGTTCAAGATCTCTCTTTTAAAGCTCACCTTTAAAGCTCACATTATTAATTTAATATGCTATACTGTCAATTTTACACCAAGAAATCATTGCAAAACAAATTATATAATATCTGAAAATATATATTCTAAAATATTGGACTTACCATAGACTCAAGTGAATGGGTTAAATGAATGCTGTTTATATATTCTTGCCCCTTCTCTTCTAACAGATATTTACACCTAAACAAGAAGGTTAAACTTTAGTAGCTGAAAAATTAGTAAAGTATAAGTAAACATATAATCTCCATCATCTCCACTTACTTGCTTTCCAGTATTTCTAAGGAGCCACAAAATAAAATGTTACTCAATTCCCCATCCAAGTGTCATTTTAAGGTTAAAAAAAACATGCTCCCTTTGTTATGCTACTTATGCTAACCTCAGTAGAGCTAAACATATCAGCTTGACAACTTCCAACTTTTAAGTACCTTAATTAAAAAAAAAAGTTTTAAATAGTTAACAAGTTTAATTTAGAAGATCAACCAATTGTACATTTAAAAGGAATTCTTTAGGCTTTCAACCTTTCCTTTTAAGGCTATTTAAGGTTAAGATTTATTTTCAAGTGATTGCTCTGAAGTTTTAATTTGTATTATTTTGTAGGCCAAAAATTCACATCACTTCTGTATCTGTGTACTTTATTTTAAAGCAAAATGGCAAAGAGATATTTAGAGTATGTCATCATCATTCTAAAACACCATTGATTATAAGAATGCATTCCTAATTTGGTGTTTAGAAATGGAATTATCTGAATGTTATAGATACAATATACAAGAAATGAATGTTTTTGTCACCAGAGAAGGCTTAGGTGTTTTTTTCCCTATAAAGTAGGTAACCCAATTTTTATAAACCTGGTATAAATTTCAAGCCATGGAGAAGGCAACAATAGCTGAGGTGAAAAGTTATTCAAGTCTTCCCACTGCATAATGTCCAATTTGCCATTACTGAATGAACATTTAAATATCTTACCCTGGATACCACTTAGCATGTTGTTCCCAAGGGTCTTCACTAGGCTTCCAATCAGTTAGCCCTCCTCCACAGTGAAAGCACTTTACTTTATCACCTTCACCTAAGAAAATACACAAGTAAAAATACATGTATTTGTGCAATTAGAAGCTTACATACAAAGAGCCTTTTTAACAGCATGAAATTAAGCATTTCTAAATTACATAAAAATCTCATAGCTTAAAAAACATTCAAATTCACATCTAAGTAATATACACAATCATTTGAAGAGGAAGTACACACTAAATTCACTGATTCAACTTGAGGTATTTTACAGAAGACAAATATAAAATTGCCCATTTTTTGTGTGTGTGGAAAATTACGATTGTTACATTCTTTTTAGCATATGTCGTTTGTGGTCATCAATACGACACTTTTTCCAATTATAAAACTTTAACAGTGAAGTTCAGCATAATGAAATTACAAGTTAAATTTCTCCAAAATTATAGCTATATGACACTAAACAAACCTTCAAGATTGCTATATGACACTATGTAAAAAATACTGAATTGATATTTTGTATTTCGGCACTATTCAATCTTAAAGTAAATGAATTAGGTACTTTTTTTCTGACTATCCTTGGAAGCCATTACACTAATGGCTCTTCCTGACATGTCTATAGTAGTCCATTTGAAAAGTACTCATTTGAAGTAAAATAAGGCATCATATTGGGCAGCTTTCAAATACAGAGTCTCTGTACAAAAGGCAGATATCAATTTTAATATCAATTTTACTAGCAGCCAAATTCTCTGTTAACTCTTAAGCGGCATAGAGAAAATTCATGTAATACATGTATTGAGCACATACAGTAGGTGCTCGACAAATTATAGTCAGTATTACTATCAGACCCATTCTTTTTATCAGGGTTATCTATCACCTTTTGCATGTTATCCTTCTCCAAAAAACAATCACATGAAGAAAAACATGATTCATAATATGGTAGTCTTTTTCACATAAATTCAGTGGTTACATTACATATTCAACCGAAGGTCAGTGAATAATAGTGATATAAATAATCATGCCAGCCTACTCCTAAATATTTACCAGTTCAGGGGGCTAAAGGAACCTGTTTACTGTTTAGGAGCCCGGGAGTAGTTGTTATTTATTAGCTTGGTTTTATAATAAAGTTTACCTAAGGCATAAAATCCAGCTCTTGCAAGCTGCTCCTTGTTAACTGAGTACATCCACATCCCAAAAGTTATGATCCGTGCTTCATAATCTGCCATGGCTGGATTTCTTGGAGGATTTGTTGAATTTGAAAAATTCCTATCAGAACTCACATCAGATTCACTTCGAATATTAACATTCCGGCCCAAAACAAAGAAGCAGTTAGGAAAGTGTCGCCTGTGTTCTGACCATGCACGATCACAAGGTTCCCAATTTTTCAATTTCCCACCACAACAAAAGCACTGCACTTGGTCATCAATACCTGTGTAGTAGAGCCCAGCATTAGCTAACTCGCTTGGGGTTAAGTGGGCATATTCTGGCCAGTTCTGAAATGTCTTTAATCTAGCTTCTTCACTACACATGGCAGGGTTCCTTGGGTATATGGTGTCTGATATATCTACAACCTGTCCAGTTCTCAAAAGATAGTCTGCATGAGTCTCAGATGGTCTGTCTAAAATAAAATGATTTCTGTTTCCCAGACAGTTTTCAGCTTTGCACTGACCATTTTGGACACCAGAATTTGTAGGTTGCGTAGTATTATTTTCAAAATAAAAGCCATTGATAAATCTGCAATTTGGGGATACTTTCCTGTGTCTTCCAACTGCTGAGTCTCCATATTGCCATCTATCTACTGCTGCGTGACAACTAAAGCACCGCACGGTGTCTCCTTCACCAGTATATAGAAAACCAGCTCGTGCTAGCGTTGATGCTGAAACAGGACTACTACTTGGAAAATTAGCAAAAGTTTTTAATCTATTAAACTCTTCTACAAATTCTTCATCCTTATCGATGTCTGCAGGTACACAAGTTTTAGATCCTTCACAACTGTTAAAAGTCATCTTCTCTTGAATATAGGATTTGTCCACCTTTTCTAGAAAGAGAACATTTACATTAGGAAATCCAAATATTACATAAGCAATTACTTTTGATATTAGGAGCTAAAAAATTACCTTCTGATGACATAAAATTATACAATCCCAAAGAAATATTCCAATTCTAAATATTAGAGGTCTACATTACGATTCAAGTTGTAAAATAAAAAAAACTAACATTTTTGTTTTCTCTCTTAGAAAAAATAATATTGAAGCAGGTAGAACAGAACTATTCATTTTTTTCCAGAACTATTCATTTTTAAGTGCTTATTTTACATAAATATAGGGACTATGTGATGTAGAATACATTAAAATTAACCGTGTAAAATCATTAATTAGGAAAAACATGAAAGCATAAAATATGCAGATTCTTAAATTCTGTGCATAATTGTGATAATGGATCATTATATATTCAAGGCATCAAAGTTCAGTTTCTACAATTAAAAAAACACAAATGTTCAGAATGCTAATGAATTAATTTTTAATAGGTCTTTACTTTTTTGCTTAGCAAAAGATAAGTTATCCACAATATTGGTTCCAATGGGTTCTTAAAGAGCATCAAAAGTTTCTGATTTTCCTGCAGAGTCAATTTTTTTGTTAAATTCTATCATTCAGATGTACAGCATACTGCCCTCTAGAGGGTGGCTCAGGAAAAAGACTAAGTATGTGTAGATCTTAATGCAGTTACTTTTACTATCAACTTCCCATGGTCAAGGAACAATCTGTTCAAATGGAAGAGAAGTACTACTGCAGCCTCATTAGATCTGCCAAATTATAGCTGTGTAATATTTAACCCAGATAACATACTAAAAGGAAATAGCTGAGTTATGAGAAGGGTGCCAGTTATTTATCCTTCAAACCTGGACACTTTTAAAAAAAATAAATTTATTTATTTAAATTAGTTTCAAGTATAGAGTGCATTAGTTAGACATCTATAAACCTGGACACTTTTGAAAGTGAAAAATGATGCTACTAATAACTACACCAGGACAACAGGTGTAAATCAGGGTTGCCTCAAGCAAACCTAGTCCTCCAGAATCTCTCACCATTCCTAACACTGTGCTCTGTACATGTCTGTCAAATGCAAAATAAAAAAATGGTCACAATGACTTTGTCTCTATTTCATGTGTGTATTAACTGGTTTCTTAGGAAGAATTACCATTTCTTTTGGCATTATGTTGGCACAATCTATGTCTTGGAACATCAACTCTCCTAATGTTCAACAGTTTTACAGGCTGGCAGTGGACATCGGTCTTTCTCGGCCTTGTCAATTTACAATGGTATTAATTCATATATATCGCAAGAGCCGAGTTATGTCTGCATACCACCATTTTTAGAAGATAGTCTCCATGACTTTTAATTGTTTCCAAGATGTCTGAAAACATTCAGACACTAGCTTCAAGGCCTTTTGTTGAATCAGCGTAAGCTGGACGACAAAAAACAAGATTCAAAGAAAACAAGGCTGGCTGATAGGCTAAGATAAAATTTAATAGAGTTATGCTAAAGTCTTACATTCTGACTTTAAAAATCTGTTGCAGAACTAAAGGAAGATGGAAACTTGGTTTGGAACAAAGTCATGTGATAGCAAGCCTCCAGATTAAAATCTTGGGATTTTTTTGTTAATTACAAAGTTCATTATGAGCCAACAATACATGGTTGCTAAAAAACTTAAAGCAACTTCCGGTTGCATTAATGTCAACATGTACAATACCTAGGTCCCATTCAGCTACACTTGGAATTTTAAGTTCTGAACACATTTTATAAGAGACATTAACAAAGTGCAATGTCCATAGAAGGCATCAGGATGACGAAAATACTGTCCTATGAAGAATAGTTGGAAGAGTTGAAAGTGTTTATCTCAAAGGGAAAAAAATTTGTGGGAAGAGGGGTATAGTAGATAGAATAAGTACCTTTAGATATCTAAAAGGCTGTCATGTAGAAAAGGGATCTAAATTCTGTGATGCTTGAGGACAGGATTAGAGTCAAGAAATATAATTATAGCCAGGGGCAGGGGGAAAAAAAGAAAGAAAAAGGAATATAATTATAGCCAGATTTTAACCTAATACAAGGATGAATGGTTACAATAATCAATAGCAGCACAAAATTGATTGGGGTACCTTGCAGATTATGAGTTCCTCTCGTTACTGAAAAGTACTTCGGCATGGACAATGAGAAAAGATTAAACATTTATAAATCTATAATTACCATGAAGAATGCTCAATATAATCCATATGAAAAATCCATATGAAAAATTCTTGAGGTGATGTTTTATTTCTCAGATCAAAACAGATAAGTGTAAAATCAATGATATATTCTCATTTCACAATAGTGGACATTCTGCATGGTTCAAGTAGCCACCCCATTTCAGATATTAGATACAACTCCATCATTCAATAATATTAAACAGAAGAATCTCTATTTGAAGCTTTCAAGTGGAGACCTCATCCTCCCAGGGGTTATTTCTATGCTAATAGTTTAGATTTCACTGTTTTGAAAAGCAGATATTAATTTAGAAGCACTCAATTGAACATTAAATATACATTATCAGAGTGTGAGCTTTTGGAGAAGGGTGAGAAAAAAGAATTACCAGAGAGGTTAATTGTGAAGGAGAGAAAGATGACTGACAAGACAGAAACCTTGGGACTGGTGGAAGGAGCCAAAAGAAAGGGATGAGAATTTTTCTTTAAAAAAGAATTTAAGTAAAATGAAGGTGGAGATGATATTTAGAAAATAAGTATATATGGGGCACAGAAATTACAAATACAGAAGAAAACGGGGTATGGATATTGAAGAAGCAGTAGTACATATTTACATGAGGGGTGTGGAA